AACTCCTGGCATCTATGGGGAGTGCCCGGGCTATAGTTGCTCAGATTTTGGGAATTTTGGGGAAATTTGATCCTTGCCGATGTTTTCGCATTTCAAGCTTCAAGAATTTCGGGGAAATTTCATCCCTGCCGATGTTTTCGCACCCTAGGTTGCTAAACTGCTGCCAGGCTCGAATTTTCCCAAAATTCCTGAAGCCTGAAACGCGAAAACATCGGCATGGATCGAATTTCCCCAAAATTCCTAAACTCCTGGCATCTATGGGGAGTGCCCGCGCTGTAGTTGCTCAGATTTTGGGAATTTTGGGAAAATTTGATCCCTGCCGATGTTTTCGCATTTCAGGCTTCAAGAATTTTGGGGAAATTTGATCCCTGCAAAGGTTTTCGCATCCGAGGCTGCCCACCTCCCATGATCCACTGCTTAGAAAAAGCAGGTTCGGGTGGATCATGGGGGCGGGGGGGCGTGAGCATATATATATATATTTTTTTTTATATTTATATTATATTATTATATATATACACTTTTCTTGCGGTTTCTTCGACTCAAGTCGTTGCCCCAATTTCTATGTATGACTTGTGACCGAAGACCGAACAGGGCAAGGATGGGTGCGGAAGGCATTGGGAGTGGTCGACGGCCGACGGGTCTGGACAGGTGGAGGGGTGGTGGGAGGGTGCAGCACAGCCTTTCGCCGTAGTTCCTGGCATCCTACAAAGAATCACAGGCTGAAGAGACTTGAGTCACCAACGCTGCTGTCAGTACCGACCATCCGAACTAGTCCACACACGCAACATGATTGAGGTCTGTCGACAAATCAGTTTTTCAGGATCAATCTCAGAGCAACTCATTCCTGATTACTGATGGTAAAATCAGAAAGAAGTCACTTGAGGAAGGCACCTTCCCATGGGAATGACACTTGACACAATGTGCCGCAGGAAGTATGTCACTCGGAATCAAAGGAAATCAATGAGTGTCAAGATCGGCCTTAAACCTGAGACCTCCCATGACGTAATGATCACATTGCAGCAACAGTACGTGTCAATATGCGCACGCTCAGCAATCAATGCAAACACTGATGGACATGAACTGCCAGCTTTCCCAAAGGCAAGTCAGTGCAAAGACTGGCGAACATAAACTGCAAGCTTTCCCAAAAGCAACAGAGAGTATGCACCATGAACAGCTTGAGAATACGACGATGTCATAGGCATCACTGCGCAGGTACGCCGAGTTGATCAGACTCGGTATCCCATGACTCCCTTCCCTGCAATAACTGACTGGAACAGTGGAGAAGATAAGAGAAGCGTACCCTTTGGGACAGGGTTTGACACACACACACACACACCGGAGACGGCGGCCTACTTTGAAATCCGTACTTCTCTTGCTACTCACCACTAACACACTGACACTGTCTGTCACACACACACACACAGAAACCTCATGACCCAAGACGACACAAGTACAATGACGGGATATGACAGGTATATCTGAGATCCAATAAAGAAGCACAAACGGGAACTCAAATTTGCATCGAGGTGAGCACGCTCCACCAGCAGGAAACTCAAACGCCGGTACCGGTGCCTGCTGTTGCCAGAAGTTCACCAGCATGGCCTCAAGTTTGCCAGTACCCGTGCAAACGCTTCCATGGGTGAGTTCTCACGTCACTATAAGTGGTCATGATGTCATGCTTCCTGCCTCAAAACCCCAATCCTTTCGCTAACCTGTCAGCTCAGCTCCACGCGGCAACAGCGAGGCAGGCACCGCCGACACCCTGCGACAAGTTGATCACCTGTCGCGGCGCAGGCATCGCATGCCGAGGACGCCTTGAAGGCCCTTGCGAAGCGCCTCAGAAGCGCTGATGCCGATGAAAAGCTCTGCCAAGGCCACCTATGCAATTTCAGATGCTCATAGGGGACACCACAATGACATGCCGATGGGAGGGAGCATTGAGAGGCGTGCCAAGAAAAGCAGTCCGCTGGAGGCTGCACGGACGCCATCGATGGGCTTCGACTGTTGCACCCTTAGCCTGGCGGCAGTGGCTATGAGTCACTTCGCACAACTTTCGCCCTTTGCAGTTCCTGGGAAGATCTCGAATGATGATGGACCCAACGAGGACGCCGATGCATGCCAAGCCAGCAATGGTAGCCTGGCATCTGCGCACCATGCAGTCGTCCTCCTGATGCGGAGGCACACGGAAAGCACCTGCAGGACGACGTGTGCGAAACAGTCGTTGAAGCCTTCATCAGAGCAGAGTCTTCGGGGCGAAGCAGTTCGTCTCAGTGGATGGCACATGGACTCTATTCCGAGTTCCACCTCCGCCCTTGGCAAAGAGGCCCGGCTCGCTGCAAATGTCTGCCATGGCTGCACGTTCAAGTCTGTAACAGAGATGTAGGAAGCCTGATCGACGGCTTGCACCGAAAGGACCTACACACTCCTACGGGAAGGCAGTTGCGCTGTGTGGATGGTGTCCACCTGTGACACTTGGGCCATAAGGGCTTCCAGGGCTTCGCGTCCGTGGTTTGTTTCAGCACTGTCTGCACCTGAAGGGCAGAGGGTCCAGTTTTCTGCCCGAAAGCAGAGAAGGTCAAGAGGCCTCCAGCAAGGCCAGAGCAAGGCAGAGGAGAAGCGGCAGCAGAGTCCCAAGTGGGCACGGTGAAAGGGCACCGGTGCCTTCAGTATAACAAGCCTGGCAGTCTGGAGGTGGGTCGCGACGGAGCCGGGGATGGGCTTGTTCCTGTCCGACAGACAAGAACGTGCCAACACTGCTTTTCTCTGTGAGCTGCTGAGTCTGAGGCTCAAGGACTTCGAAACACCCCGCGCTGGAGATCAGTCGCTCAAGATCTGCCTCGAAGCTCTGAACCGAACCTGAAAACCAGAGCAATTGGCGAAACGGATTCCACCTCGGTTACGAGCTGGCCAAAGTCGATGGTGGTGATGTACTTCAGCCTTAAGGAAAAACAGACAGGAAACAAAGCTTCGAGTTGCCACTGCGCCGTGAAACAGGGGCACCCTGCAGCGGCTTCAAGAAGGCCATCACTGGCGAAGATCTCTTCTGGAAGGTCCTTAGCGCCGGCCAGGGCTGATGGCACTCTACGAGACCCTTTTCTTCAGGGTCCCGCTGTGTTATGAAGACGCGTCCGTTGCGCTTCATCAGAGGCAGAACTGCCAGGGGATGGAAGGTCCGACACGGGAGAGACTGAACGTCGATAGTCTGCCCTGCAATGGGCCTGCCCTGAGGGCTTCAGGCGGGTCAGGCAAGACCTGCGATGGCCCAACAGCGAGAAACTCCTATCCCCCAACATCTGGCTCAGGCACGGAAAAAGAACCGGAGAAGTAGACGGCATCAAAGCGCATCTCCTGCAAGGAAGGCCCGTCCCGCGCCCTGCGACGCTCGGTGCTCTTTCCCTTCCTCGACCTGGCGCCTCGCGCGGGGTCGCGCGTTCGCGCGAAGGCCCCACGCGTGCCTCTGGCACCTCTTTGGGAACTTCGCCGGTGAAAGCTTCGTCGCCCACCTCGCGGTGAAAGCTTCGTGAGACTGTTTGGCACGTGCCGGAAACCTCCAACCTGGAAGCAAAGGTCAGACAGGTTGTCGTAGATGGAACGCTCCAGGACATGGCCTCTGCAAAGGTTTGGCCCGAGGCTTGCAGGCATTCACAGGTCGTCCCCCCCCCCCCTTCCCCCCCACACTTGGGTCTCTGCAGTAGAACCTGAGTCAGGGCAGGCCTAGCCCAGGGCCACTAAAAACTGCACTCTTAGGCCGAGATCGGAGCTCTCCCTGCCGGTATCCTTCGGTGTCAGCAGGAGCTGGCCGCCAGAGCCCTTCGGCCCGCAGCACGGCCTGTTTTTGGAGTGGCGAAAGGACGAGCTGGGTCTTGACAGACTGCAGCGCAGCAGTGCCTCTGCTTTGCGAACATAGGCTGCCTGCACTGGTGTAAGAGTTGCGAGGATCCTGCGGATGTTAGGTTCTACACGGGAGGGAGGGAGGGAGGGAGG